TGTAGCTTGAGCCATCATCGCCCCAGTGTAGCTTGAGCCATCATCGCCCCAGTGTAGCTTGAGCCATCATCGCCCCAGCCGGCTGGTAGCCCAAAACAGAACGGGTGAAACGTGTTTATCAGGACTTGGCCTGTTCAAGCACTTTTACTAGTTGGGCTGCGGGTCACAGTCTTTTATCTATCAAATTAAGCAATTGGCTAGCAGTGACGATTTTGTTTTGTCTGTGCTTGTGGATTTAGGGATTTCCTTTAAAGGAAGTGTATGCCGTACTGCAGGCAGTATGATAACCTCCTAGAGGTTGTGTGCGTGTGCACAGGGTTTACTGTACTTTTGAGTGCCAAGTTTGGGAACGTTTCTTCACCGGCCTACTCATTTCTAGGAAACGTTGTGAAGACTGGTGAGGCAGTCCTCAGGAGGCAAAGGGCCGTTTCGTAAGCCAAAACGGCTCATAAGCCATCACCTTTAAAATCTGTCGGCGAGTATTTGAAATTCACTTTCCCCTCCCGTGTCAGGTTTTCTTCCCGTGGCGTGTAGAAGAGTAAATACACGAGGGAGAGGTCATCGCGAGCGTGGGAGCACGAATCTGTTCTTCTGTGTGCAAGGTCCTTGCTTTCCGGCCCTCCTGCTGCTTTCCCTTCTCATTGTGGAGGCGTCATGAACAGCCTCCGGTTTCCAGCGCCGTGCCCGGGAGGTGGCTGTTGCTGGACTCGGTGCTGCAGCAGGGGGTTGCCAGTGTTTTCTGCAGTGTCTCCTCAGCCACACGCACGCCAAGCGTCCCATTCCACAAATATCACTGCCTGGGCCAGCGTGCTCTTGATCTAACTGGGAAATGTGGACGTTGCTTCTTCGGAGAAGTGGCCATTAGGATTCCCTTAACATTCTCTCTGCTGCTGACTTCCTGAAACTTTAATGTCACGCGCTGTTATTTTTCTTTTTGCTGCCGAGTTTCAGGTGTTAAAAGTTAGGTTGTGTGGTATTTTCCCCAACATCTCATAGTTTCTCACAGGCCTGGCCCTTGTTATCAATTTCACAATCCACATTCGTATCGGTTTTGTGATTGGTCGAGCAGAAGTGATGTCTTTGTCAGTGGATTCCAATTCTTTTTTCAGGACTGTTCCACAGAGCAGATCTGCTCTGATATAGCAGTGAAGTTAAGTTAATTACCACACAAGCAGGAAAGTCTATTCTTGTGTGTGACTGCCTGTGGACAGATGGCAAATGTCTTTTGTTTTTAAACATCCACATGTGTGATTCACTGTGTAGTTGTATGTCAGACTAGCTCTATTTGTCATATTGCAAAATATGAACCAATTAATATAACACACTGTAATAAATCACTTGTGTATTAAAGTGTCCCAGATAACACCTAAGATTTAGCTGAATCCTTAGCTGCTCTACTGAAATACGTGTACCTGATGAGAACTGGTTCCTGAGAAATCTTCAAATTTCCCAAAATACTTCAGAAGTTTATAAACAGCATTTGTCCTGAATAGAGTAATCTAGTTGATTGGCTGTTGTTTTTTTTTTCAAAATGCAATTACAATTGCATTTGCTTACTTTTTATGAGGTTAACAAGCTTTTTTCAAGAGTGTAGAATACAGTAATGTAGAATATTTCTCAAAAATATAAATCTGTTTATGGATCATAGATCATGGCACTTTGTACTTAATGCACTTCATCCCACTGATGCCCCTCTCTGGTAGTGCTTTTCCATGTTGACCTCACCTTAGATACCATCGCTTGTGAAACGCGCAGTTGAGCTTTCTGGGTCACTGGAGTTCCTGCCCAAATCACCCCAACAATCACCCCTCTTTCACAGACACCGAGGTCACCCTGGGCAGCCACGATCATCATAATTATGGAAACCAGGCCTCTCCAGCATTTTGATACATGACCCTGAGCATGCAGGGGTGTTACTTGCTTCCCTAACACAAGTCACACCTGTGTGAAAGCCCTTTCTCCCGGTGTGTTTGATGTCCCTCCTTTATCCTGGGGTTCCTGGCTTAAGTATGAGCAGTACCATATGAAAAAAAATAACAGACAGCTGCACAGCTTGTTAAGTGTACAAAACCCTTTGTTAAATCTGTTCTTGCTGTTACTTATTTTTGCGCCGTCTGCTTATTTTCTGCCAGATTTGCTTAGATTTATTAATGACTGAGAAGTATCTATTCGTTTGGATACAGGAAGAAAATGGGGGGGGGGAAAATAAAATCGTAACGTGGACATTTTCAATTTCAACATTGTTTTCCGGGCCTTAAAAATATGAGCCGTTAGTCACAGCAGCCAAAAGCTTGACAGCCACGGCAACCGGTTCCTGTTCTGTAAATTGATAAAGTGATGTTTTGTGACTGAGCCAGGCAAAATGTCTTTAACGTTACCATTTTAACTAGGGTGCTTATCTAAGGCAGCTGGCAGGGAGATGGACAGGCTGTACAGCTGGGCTGCTGCCTGCACCACCGACGGGGAGGAATGGTGGGAGGCATCTTTCCCACTGCGAGATGCGCCCTATCCTGAAAGTGTTCAGACTGGGACCTCATTCTCTTCAGCAGGGAATACACTGGGTAGCCTTATGACTTGTGAGGATTAGAAAATCAAAGTTCAAAAGCCTTTTACTCTGACTTAGTTGTGACAACACTGCTGCTGAAAGGATTGATGGTATCATCTTGACGATACTATCTTCAGTTTCATTAAATGGAGTGTGGGGTTGTTGTACGTTATTTTTTGATTAATTTCAGTTCACAGTCATCAAATATGGTGCTTTTCTTCACTCAGAAGAAAATTGTCCAGCTCTGTGACTTGCAGTTTCTAATTTAGTTCAGTAATAGCTTTTGACTTAACGCGTCTTCAGTGTTCAGAATAATACCTTGTGGCCACTGCAAGCACAGTTCGAGTTTAAACAACTTTGAAAGGCCAGTTTGTTTCCATTGAAAGCTCCCTGCACTGACATTTTTAATGGTTTCAGCTCAAGTGTGGGGCAGGAGACTAATAAATGTTAACTTATTACAGCCTAATAACCCCTGTTAATTGTGTGCAGCAGTATATTCAGAACTTGGTTATGTGCAGGAATAATAAAGGTGCTTCATGAACTTTTCTGTGAGCGCCATACCAATAGCGAATTGGTATTAACTCTATTGTAGCAGCAGTGAAGCCGAATTTGAGGAAATCCATACATACAAAGAGATGTGTGTGGCAGTGATTGAAAGGAAGCAGGAGGTTGTCAACATGTTAGGACTGTAGGATTGATGTTCTTCCACTGCCGGTCTTTGCCAAACCTCTCTCTTAGGTCTGGATTCCAGGGCTGTGTTTGATAGTCATTGGAAACGTTAATGTTGTTCCTTTTCCCCACAGGTGCTACTTAGAGAAAACATATTTACAAAGAAATTGAATGTATCCTCATGCTTTTCCTTTTATGGTAGTTCTTTCCCTTCTTCCAGTCTGCAGTCATGCCATAACGACCAGGACACCGGGGAAAAATAATACCGGCACAAAGCAAGATAGATTGGTGCTCTTTTCACTTTATTCTTCGTCTAAAAGGGTGGAAATCTGTGTTTGGCATCACCATTCTACATATAATACACATTAAAAATAAACAGTCCTAGCCATACAACAGTGCATTTACACACATCACACTCTGACTATTTTACACTACGGTGTGGAGCGGTGGCACTGTGGGTCTGGATCTGCGCCGGTTGCAGGTTCAAATCCTGCTGCCGGCAGGGGAATGCTACTCCATTGGGCCCCTGAGCAAGGCCCCTCACCCCAGCTGCTCCAGGGGTGCCGTATAAATGGCTGACCCTGTGCTCTGACCCCCAGCTTCTCTCCCTGTCTGTGTGTCTCATGGAGAGCAAGCTGGGGTGTGCAAAAAGACAAGTTCCTAATGCAAGAAATTTGTATAGGGCTAATAAATTGATCTGGTGTTATCTGATCATACCCCAACAGCTTCATACGGGAAACAGACACTTTGCTGCAATTAATAAGCTGACTGCACAGGGAACACTAGTAGTCTTGTAGATGTTTTTCTTGGCCACAGTCATTCTGAACTGCCTCCCTGAAGGCAGTAGTCAGAAATGGGATTGAAGAGGGTGAGAGTCATGGAGGATCAGCTGAGCTTTCCTAGTTCCTAGACCCAAGCCTCGGCTGTATTGGTACTTTTGTTTATCTTCTTGCAGTGGTCTGTTTTTTATGGCATGGTGGTCACCATAGCCTGAAGCCTAGTCTCTCACACGGGTTTATGGCCCTTGTCAGTTTTTCAGCGGCCTGACAGACTGCCTCACGCTTTCCAGAAGAAAAATTGCAAAGTGACATGGTTCCTTGTTCAAGAAACACTGGCAATGCGACGCACCATAAATCCTGAGAGGTGCATCAATATTCATGTGTTGTGTGCTTCACATGGAGTTCAGCTCTAACTTGCACTGTCTGCTGCTGGTAATATTTTTTAGGTGAATGGACAGTGTGCTGGGCACACAGCTATGCAGGCAGCCAGTCAGAATGGACACGTGGATGTGCTGAAATTGCTTCTCAAACATAATGTGGACTTGGAAGCAGAGGTATGTTCATCTCTTTACATGCTACCTGAGAATCATGGTACCCTCACAGCATTTTAATCTCCGACTGTGTTGAAGTAAAATGCTGTAAAACGGGAAATTCATATGCTAATCTACTGCTGGCTTTCATCCTCATGCGTAATCTACAGTGTAATAGAATAATAGTGTTGTTAAATATCGGTTCAATTAAAACTGATCAAGTTCCAAAGCAGTGGAGCTAAGTTGGCTTCTACTAAAGAAACAAATTTAACATGAATGAAGTATTTTTATATGCATGGCATAACCTTAGTGAAAAGCATCATAAAAGAAACAGGCTGTTAATATGCATCATGTCAACTGTGCTCTGAAAAGCTTTTTATATTCACTTTAAAAAACAGTACACTGCTGGGAGAACGAGCATCATTATTCATTGACCCACTAAGTTTCTTAAGGTTTAACTACATATTACCAAGGTTTTATGTCATTTATGGTTTCATATCACTTATTTTAGGAGATCTGTGTTTAGTGTTAAGTATTTCTGGCGTAATGCTCTTGTGTAGTGTCTGTGCATGGGGAAAAAAGCTATTGGACCACCTTTAAATCTGTTGCTATTGACAGTTCTTGTTGATGGCTGATGAGGATATAGGTTGTTCTATAGGAACTGCCTCCCTTAAAAGTCAGGTTTTGTGAGGCAGTAGAAGGAGATCATTTTATACATTTCTCCCATTTGTTTTAGAGTTGTAATGCAGAATCTCTGGTTAAAAGTAAGCCACTGAGATATGAGAGATCTGCACTATGACTGTTAAAAATCTCAATAGTAGTCTTGATTTACTAAACTTTTAACCAGGAGTATGTTATGATGTTTTTTTTCCCTCTAAAAGTGATTTAGATGCACACAACTTAGAAGTGATAAAAGATGCCAGTTTGTGTGTAGGTAAGGTAAGCACTGCAGCATTAACAGCTTCTGATCATTGCTAGAAATAAAATACACAGACTGCACCTGATGAAAGCAAGTCTGATGTTTTCTCCTCACTGAATATTCTGCTTTTATGTTTGTTCAAAGCCTTTTCTTTATGCAACGCACAGATTCACTGAAGAGAATCAGTGTTGCAGATTCTATGATGCAGGTGACGCATAACTTGCGTTTTTCTTTTCGAACTTTGTTTCTAGTGAATGAGTTGCCCACCAGGGCAACCAATCAGGGTTGTTTTGTTTTTTACGTTTCATGATTAAAGCCAAGCTGTAGAGCTCTCTTGTAGGGCTTACCATAAAATGCAAGCTTTTCCATTAGCGCTGTCCTGAGAGTGGTAGAGAGCCACTGATGAAGACCTCTGCTGAAAAGTGATGTTACTTTTACCCAAACGACCTTTTGCTGCTGACCTTGTTGTGGACGCGGAAATCTCTAGTGAAATGTTATAAGCGGTGCCGAGCTTGTTCCTGTGCTGCACGTCTGGGCGAGGAGGCTGTTTAGCCCGGCCAGTGGGAGTTCACCGGTGGTGTCCATGTTGTAGGACAAAGACGGAGACAGGGCTGTGCACCACGCTTCTTTTGGAGACGAAGGATCGGTCATCGAGGTTCTGCACAGAGGGGGAGCGGACCTGAATGCTCGAAACAAGCGCCGACAGACCCCCTTGCACATTGCGGTCAATAAAGGGCACCTGCAGGTGGTCAAGACTTTGCTGGACTTCGGCTGCCATCCCAGTCTTCAGGTACAGTAAAGGCTGTCAATTCCAAGTCCCTTTCTTTTCTGGGAGACTTTCCCAGGTTTTCACAGCGTCGTTCATTCTTATTTTCGATTTTTACAATGAATGCCTCGGAGCTCTTGGGTCCTGAATCTGACACTGGAGAGGAGCTCCCTCTGTGTGGAGCTTGCATGTTCTCGTTGAGCTCACTTGTGTGTGTGCTGGGTGATTGGGTTTATCTGCCGCCTCACGCTGGCTAGGTTAATTGGTCTCTCTCCTGGGAGGTCTGGCTTTCTTTCCCAGGTGTCATCCTGCCGTACTCCCTGTGCCCCCGAGATATTCTCGGGATTGCTCTGCCCCTTGCCAGGAATGAGCAGCTCTCTGACAGTGTGAAAACGATTATAAAAACATCTTGTTCATAATAATACATCTTGTACAGCTTGCGTACCTCTCTGCACCGAGCAGTTAAAAATAGAAAAATTGGTTCATTTCCAGTTCATAGGTGGTTTGTAATCCCCTCCCCCCCATGAATAAATTGCTAAATAGTTGTATATAATATGCATCTATAACATATACAGAATGTGCCTGTGCTTGTAAGGATATAGATCATTTTAGACATCATTATAGACAGAAAAGTCTTTTATAACTGCCTTATTTCTCTCGTTCTGCCTTTCCTTTTGTGGCTTGGTGCAGAGCGTCTTAGAAAGGACACCTTTGATTTTCCGTGTTGCGGCTTAGAAACTGTCCCATCGCTCTCCAGTCCGCTGTAGCTCTGCTTCAAACAGCTCTTCTGGATTGAAACCAGCTGCTTTACTTTCTTCTAACTTTGCTTGACGAAATACAGATGTGCGGTTTCGTACGGTTTATAGCAATGTTGTTTGGGAAACCTGTGCTCTGCCTGGTTCTTAAGAAGAGCCCTTTTTTCTTGTAAACCACTGCGACAGCTTGCGGTTTCTGGTTACTGCCTCCTTCTCCTGCTTGTTCTGCTCCCTTTTAAAGAGCTGTCAAGATGTGCTGTCCGTCCGCGAGCAGGTCCTACCCCAGCTGTGTACTCTGGCGCTGGGCTCATAGTTAACAAATTAGCAAGCTCTTTACTTGTGAAAGACAGTCAAGACTTGAGGAGAAGAATTAAGAAGTGAGGGTAGAGCAGAGATATGTGATTGTTTGGAGAAGCTTGTCAGGATGTCGAGTTGGTTTGTGTCCGTTTACTTTTGACGTGGTATTTCTGGAATCCAGTCAGGGTCTGAGCACATTTTATTGACTGAAAGGGAGAGAGTTTCAATGTCTTGTTTCCCTGTTGCCTGATAGATTTATTATTAATGTGGACACTAATGTACAGACTAGGCCTTGCTTCTTTTTTTTTATAAAACCATGGTTTTGTTCAGTACTCCCGGATATTATAATTTATTAGAGTTAGCATTTGAAGATTGTTCATTTCTCTAGGCTGTCCCTCCTATCTCCTTTCTGCAGCTCTTGGTGGGCTTGCTTTAGATATTCTCTTTTAACAGCCAGCCGTCACAGTTTTTCTGCCCCCTCTTCCTTTCTCCCTCCTGTGATTGTTACTCTCTCTCAAAACAACTTTGTCCATCTGGGCAGCTGCCCAGCTAACCAGTGTGCGAAATGAATCGAGTTGTCGTTACTGGTCCAGTAACACGCGTTGCTTGTCATTTTTGCTTAGAAATATCAAACAAGTGTTCTAATCTTCTACAAGTTTCTGTACAGCAGATTCTCAGTTTAGTGCAGAATGAGAGAAAACTTATAGTGCCAACCGAATAGATGTGCTGTGCCTTAAGCTGCTGACTGAAGCATTTTGCTTATGGATGAGCTGAATAAGTTGGGAAATATTACATTTTAGATGGAGCCACTTGCATTTCAAGCTTAAATGCTGCAATTCATTTAATTGTCATTACCTGTTATTAGTTTCACCACTTATGGAGTTCAGAAGGATATTGTGCTTTATTAATATATTTTTGCAAAAAATGGCAAGTGATACAGATCCTAGGCACATAGGATCAGCCAGCTGCCATGTCACCTGCAGCTCACCGCTGGCAGCCCCACTGGAGCTCAGCAGGTGTGAGCCTGGCCAGTACCTGCAGGGGAGACTCCTGGGAAAGCTGAGGGTGTTAGTGGAGCCAGCAGGGGGAGCTCACCCAGACTGTTGCCCCACTCCAGCCACGTTGCTGTAGGGAGAAAGGGCAGTGGGGGGCCCGTGGGGGGGGGTATTGGGAGAGGCGGTGAAGGGCTGTTTAACGCCGTCACGTGTACGGACAGGACTCGGAAGGAGACACCCCTCTCCACGACGCCATCAGCAAGAAGCGAGACGACATGCTGTCCGTGCTCTTGGAGGCTGGGGCTGACGTCACCATCACGAACAACAGCGGCTTCAACGCCCTCCACCACGCCTCTCTGCGCGGGAACCCCAGGTGAGACAGCGGCTCTCTCCCCCGGGCGAGCTCCGGCAGCGCCGCCCTCTTGCCAGCCGTCCTCCTGCGTGTGTGTTGCTGTTTAGTCGTTTCGCGATTGGTCACAGCAGGATTAATTGCCCAGCTTTGTCAGCAAGTACAAGTTCCCATGTACTGGTTTACGTTTGGCTGCGGTAGCTGGGAAGTTTCAGGGAGATTGTTTGTTGATCAAAGGCTGACTCGGAGGGCGCGCGCCAACAAAAAGTATTTCTAAGTTTGTGTGTCGAATTATCGCTTGGACTGTTTGCTGGAGCACAGCTGCAGCCCACGGCTGTTTGAGAGAGGGATATTCTGTTAGTATTTATAAACCCTGCTCACCAACGCAACAGATGTGTTTTCTCAGGAAGAGCGTTGGTGAAAGTGTTGCTTTCCAACAAAACACCTCCATTGACCTCGGCGGCACTCCCGGCTTCCTCGTGTAGGTGTGGGGTTATCGTGTGGCCGCGAGCCGGGTCTGCAGGTGGCACCCCCTGCCTGGAATTAGCTGCCCGTGTTGCTCCCAGAGAATCCAAACTAATGAATGCTGTAATTTTGTAAAACATCCTGTGTTTATGGCCGACTTGGTCTTTCTTGATTGATGAATTTCCGTAAGTGATTATTATTAGGATGTGATTTTCGGTGTACAAACCTTTAAGCATTGGAAACCTGTTGCCTGGTGTGGTTCATTTGTTTAACTGCTTCATCATTTAAATAAAGACAGGAGCTGGGTCTCTGAGACTATCAGTGAACTGGCCATCTTAAGTTCAGATCAGAGCTGCATGTTACAGATACATTCTTTTATTGCATTATTTTTGGGTTGGTATGTGAATTTGAATAAGTTATTTTTCGTGCTGATGTAATAGTGTTTGGCCACAGTCATGCTTCGTGTGCCTGAAATCAACTTGGAATCATGTTTTAGGTTATTTGTGAATCTTTAATTTTTCTGTCTTAATGCCTTTTAAGCTGGTGTATTTTGCGCAGCTTCACGAGTGAACTGCTTGCTAACTTTGGGCCGTCTCCCTTGTGTTCTTTGTCATTGCTCACGGCATCGCTATTAGTTATTACAGACTGAGAAATGGGGTGAACAGTCAGGTGGTCTCGTCGTCCTTGATAAGAGCTATTTATGGCTTTGCTGGGAGTGTGCGCAGTGATGAATTGCTTGCGATTGTGGGACCAAAGCAGAGGTTTGGTCGGTTTGTTCTGTGTGAAGTTTGCACTGGCTGATGCAAGGACGCAGCCCAGTGATGTCTCAGACAAGTCGGACTGTACTGGTGGAAGTGTGCAGTACGGTGCCTTTTATTGAATTGAGGGCACTCGATCAATGGCAGGCTGGGTTGATTCTAAATCCGGTAAACCTGTATTGCAATTGTCTTCCAGTTAGTCTGCAGCTTAGCTCTGTCATTATTGTGTTCTAACGGGTTCTATACAAATTAATATACAAATGTTGTTTGTCATCCTGGTTGAATTCATGTTAAAGAGAAAACTCTGTTAGCAAAATACATAGTTTGTCATCATCAATGTCTTTTTAAACAAAGTTTTCTTCTGTCAGTGTTCTGTATAGGTTTACTTGCGGGTTTTGTTTCAGTGTTAAATTCAGATCCTGTGAGTTGAAGTGGTTATGCCACTGACACAATCATACAACTGCTACTTCGACAATATTGGGGTCAGCAGTTTTGTTTTTTAGCTATTTTAGCTAAGAAAGCATAGCTAAGAAGCAAGGAAATTGCCATTTTCCCACGTGTCGCTGATAAATTGCACCAAATGCACCTTTCCGCTCTCCATTGTGTTACAGGGCAGTTGGCAAGAGTTGCAATAAAGCTGTTCTGAAATCACACAGGGCTTGACTTATTTAAATTAAAAAAGGCTTCTTTTTGTTTTATTTTGAGTCTTGCCCATGCCTTTGTGCAGCCATTAATAATGCCTGACCCAGTCGCAAAACCATCTGTTATTCAGTAGTTCTGTAGACCCAGAAGTCAAAACGTGATCAGCTGCTGTGAATTCTGTGAAATATTTGCTGGGTTTGAAATTGTAAAAGCACAATAATCGATATTTATTACGGTCTCATAAAAACATATTTTCCCCAGTGATCTGTACAGTGGCCACCTAAAGCCCTAGATATATATCCTTACACAGCTTTTTTTTATTTCTTGGCTGACTTGTGAAGTTTTCAAATGCTGCATTTTATTTCAGTGTCCCCTTAGGACCACCACAAAATGAGCTGAAATTCATTTTTATTTTTATTGTTGTTTCTTAAGCCATCCCAGGTCTTTAATGTACCGTCTCTTCGTGGATTATTAGGAAGACTGAGTTGTTTTAAATGCCTTCGGAATAAATGAAGAGTGGTTTTTGGAGTTTTTGCACAGTACTCAGTATAGCCACCATAAGATGCTATAAAGTCAGCTGTTTATCATATATACTCTGATATTTCAGGTCTATCTCTGTGACATGTTGTCAGATCTAATTTACATTTCGTCTGCCTCCACCTTAAACACTCTTTAATTCATAGGGGTCTGTGGTGAATCGATGTCGCTACACTATAAGACACTTGTGGTATATTTGCCCCAGGTCTGTGAGTAGTGCTGCTTTTTGAACAGTGCTTGCATCACTTGTGATGTCTAATTCAGACATCTATGGCTAGCTGTGGGCAGCACCACTGAGCTAAATTATTGTTCGCCGTGTGACTTGTGTTAAAGGGCTCGCAGGGTTGGTGGAGAGGGAAAACCAAACATATTTAGAAAACAAAGAACCTTCAAGACAGACGAGCAGCAGATTAATCTATCGAACCCGCAGGGCTGTGGGTAATGAGTGTTTTACTGTGGACCACAGCTCTCATCATTCACTGAGTGTGAGAGAGAGAGAGAGACAGAGAGGTCTCCCTGTGAGTACAGAAGGGTCTCAAGTTTAAGCTCTACTGGAGGTCTAGAAAGGAAGGAGTAGAAACCACCTGCGAGGGAGATGTGCAGGAAGTAGAGTCAAAGGACTGCAAAGGAAAGCTAAACCAGCAGAGGGTCAGATAGTTAAGTGCTCATGCTAAAATGCCAGGAGTATTAGGAGCCCGGAAGCTACATGAGATTGTGATGTCATTGGAGACAGAAGCAGGGCTAACAGCATTGTGGTGAAGAATACAGTATTTATAGTCTTTCACCACAAAGACAGAGGGGTAGGAGTCGCACTTTACACATACAATAGCATTCAGGCACAAGAACCTAACCTAGACGAATCAAAAGTCTCAGACCTTTAAGGGTTCAGCTGAGAAGGCTGGAGAATGGTGTTACACACCACTGAATTCAGGCGTATTCTGCAGTAGTGTATCAGGTGAGTATCTGCGTCAGCATGCATAGGCTGCAAAGGAACAAGTAATAGGTTTATTCCACGCTGAAAAGAAAAGAAAGGAAACACAACGTTTCGACTGCGGAGCCTTCTTCGGATGCATTAAGCAGTATTACAGAGGGAAGTTAAGGGAAATGTGTAAAGGAAGACATAATCATAGAAGGTTGTAATGGTCCACAGAGATTGGGAAGGATTAATAGGGATGTAAATAGCTGACACTGAAATGGTAGACATTGATAACATCTGCTTTGTTACTCAGTTCGTCAGATCACCTACCAGAGTGAAAGAGGTAAAGAATGGTGGGGTATCCAATTAAAGGTTTAGAAATTACATCAAGCGTTGTTAGAATTGTGCCTGCACTGGTAATACCTGAGGAGGAGGTTGTGCGCAGTTGTGGTCACCGCAGTATAAAACCATTACTGCAGCTCTGGAGTTGGTCCAGAAAAGAGCAGCCAGTTCCAGCTGCGGACTGGCCTGAATGACCAACACTGACACGTCTAAAGAACTGAACCTTACTAACCGTGAAGAGAGTGGACTGGGGTGACCTGCTTCACGTATTCAGAATCCTCCGAGATTGAAAAAGTGAATCCTAGGGACTTTGGAATCAGAATCAACCGTGAAACACAAAACCAGAGTACAGAAGTGGACACTATATGGGAGTACATTTAAAGCCTGGAGCAGGAGTGAGAGTCTGGGACAAGCTGCCACGCCATGAGGCTACAGTTAATGTTCAAGATACGTTCTTGGACAAGTTCCTCAGATCAATTAGCTGCTAGGACCTAAACGAATGTAATGAACGGAATGGCCTCCGCCCATTTGCCCTTTTCATATGGTTTTATTTTTATGTCAAGACTCTGGTGTTTGAATCCTGCCATTGATCTCCCAGATTCGTTTTACTAGATATTTAGTAGAGGCCGCACAGTGGACAGCATTACTGCCTCGCACCGCTGGGGCCCTGGGCTCAGTGCTGGACCTGGGGTGCTGTCTGTGCGGAGTTTGCATGTTCTCTCCGCGTTCATGTGGGTTTCCTCAGTCCAAAAACATGCTGGTAGGTTAATTGGCTCCTGGGAAAATTTGGCCCTGGTGTGAGTGAGTGTGTCTGTGTGTATCCTGTGATGAACTGGCGTCCCACCCCAGGTGTATACTGCCTTGTACCTGTTGATTAAGATGTAGGACTTTGGTTTGGTTGCCATAGGTGTTCAAAGCCATTTGCTGTGTGAGAAACGTGTATAACAGGGATCTCCAACCCAGGACCTAGAGAGCCCCAATCCTCCTGGTATTCTAGGTCACTGTTAAATTGCCAGTTTCTACAGATTATAGAACAGGCAATTTGCTAAATTAAGTCACTTACAGATAATTTCAGACTAAGCTTTTCTCTTAATTCACTCTTCAGCCCTCTCTTCATTCATCAGATGACTGGCCTGGTCCATCAGTACCTTGCAGGTGTTGCCCATCTGTCAGACTGACCCACTGTCTCCTGGACAGGGCTGGTACCAGGGTCCTGGCGTGTCACAGCATGAAGTCTGGGCAGGAGCTAGTCGCTGGATCGTTTCTTTGCAGTCCTGGTAGAAGGGGTGGGTCAGAATCGTCGGCAGAAGCGATCTTAGCATGAGCATACATGTATGTGTACCTCATGAACAGGGCCTGCATGCTTGTGCGGTAGAGGAGCTGGGCTTTCGGACCTCCAGCCAGATGCTTGTGTGTCGAGCTGTGGGAAGCCCATTTCCTCAAATGTCTTTGGCTTCCCCTGAACCTGTGGACTCTGAAAAGCTCCCAGCTGAAGCAGGCAGAGGGAGTCCTGTGTGTTCATGGGGACTCTCTGTTTGCCCTGCCTATGATTTTCTTCCAGAGGACGGCCTGCTCCCTTATTCTGTTTCCTGTGGACGGTTTTCCCCCTGAAACGGTCAGCAGTGAGAGGAATGTAAACAGTGTGGCTAATTACCCGTGACTTCGAAATGCCAGGGACAGGCCTTGCTGTAGCAGTTTGCCCGCAATTTCTTTTTCACACAGTTTGTTAACCTGTATTTTAATCAACTTGCCGGCTCCCAGGTGAAATTCCCCTTTCTGCACAAGAGGCATGAACGCCCGCAGCGTCATAACCATCGCAGCAATTAAGAAAATCAAACCATTTTCATAGCTTGTGCTGCCCGAGTTAATCGCCTTGCCTAGCAAGAGTGGTTGTAATGTTGAATGAAGTCGTCCACAGTATGCTTAGTGCTTTAATGATATTTCACATATTATAAGCTGTGATTGAGAAAATTGTTAATTAAAAGGGCAATTAATGGTCCAAATGATGAGGAACTAAAAATACTGTAATGTGGTTGGAGTGTGCCTTATTCATTTCCCCCTTCGCTGTTTTTTGCCGAAATGGCAGTGCAGGCAAGCAGAAATGTCTGCTGCTCATTTCCCTGTTGCCCTTAGACATGTTTGATGTGCGCTGTTGACATGAAAAGGAGCGACAGTCTGCTACCTTTCAGAAAAAGCAATCAATTATTTAAAGGACAAGCTCACCGTATGCGAGGTATATTGATTGCAGTTCTTACAGGAAGGGTTTGGGCACTGAGTGGATAGGTGGTGTTCCTTTTTTGTTCTAGAGGGTGATCACGGCACAAGTCATGGTGATAGTGCTCCATTGTCCCAGATGTGGTCATTTCTTCGACACAGCTGTCCTCTTTGGTCAGGTTTTAGAAGGGTTTAGGTTGGGGGGGGCTCTAGTAGCTGAGAGGTGTACAAGAGACATGAGGTTTCTGCTCTCGTGCTAATGGCAGGAGGCAGTGATCTGCACTTGAAGGACGGGGTAAAAGGGCATCTGGCTTCTGTCTGTGGGGCTGTTTGAAAGAAAGTCGAGCTGTGGAAGGTGTGAATTAATGTCAAAGACTTATTTTTGTCATTTCTGCAAACTTCTGCAGCTGCAGCCATAGTGCAGTCAGGTCTCATTTCCCAGGATGACTTTGCTGTCTTTAGATGTTGAAAACGTGTTGTGGGTTTATGATATTTATCTCACTACAACATATTACATTCAGTGTGCATTGAAGTTGTACAGATACATGTCGATGTATAGAGACACTTTCACTTAATGCAGAAAATGTTTGCATGAATTAGCAAGTGCGGGCTAAGTGTATATTTGCAGATATTGTTTAACCAATAAAGAGCATAAAATATTCATTTCCACAAAACACTTGGCAGGAAATATGACAATAGCATTGATTGTTTTTCTTATTTATTTGTAAAGCAGCCATATAACACTGAACACTGAATCAAGCAAACACTGTAGATCAAGTATAGCATTCAGGCACGGGAACCATCAAATATAGAAATGTTGTTTTAAAGCAGTCTGTCGAAAATTCCTACCTAGCTCTAGAGACGGATATGTTGTCAGTTTCAGAGGCACGTATGCAAAGTTAGCTAAAAAGATTATGAATTACAGATGCAATTTTGTATTACTATGGAGAGAGCAACTTATTAATTTTGTGCAGAAATGAAAAACAAAAACTGGTCCTGTAGTCATCAATGCATAGCTACAGCTGGTTGAAGGGGACCAAATCCATTGAAAAGGTGATTTGGTTCCATTTTACCAGCTTTAGCAAAGCATTGGCAGTGGGCCTTGAGCTCCTGTGCTGTGTAAGAACCCTTCTCTGTGGCGCCTGTGAACACTGCCGATGCTGAGAGTACCCTGCAAGCTCTGGAGAGGCGTCATTTCATCCTTCCCCAGAACTCTCTTGTTCTGGACAGGTTTGATCTCTTCCCCTAGCTTGGCTCGGACTGGTCCCTAGACAGCATTGTATGCAGGCACACAGGACCAAGCACATGCACGTTCTTCCGGAGGGGTTTTTCCCCCCGAAAGGGGGGGGAAAAGAGCCTCGTCACGATTTTGTTAAAAGAAGAGTAATGCTCTTTGATAAATTGTTAATAGTAATCTGCCTCGCACGCTTGAGCCAAATGTCTTCAAGCCGTGCAGCAATTCCAGCCCCTGATTGATAGTCCCCGACACGGCTGTGTCTCTGGCTCACACAGCCAGAGCCCCGAGAGTTGTGGTCTCTGGGCGGCGGGGTAGAGGCGGCGCCCCGGACAGGGGGCTTCAGTGAGGGCAGCTCATGCAGTGGTGACTCCTTCACTCATTTGCATGATGGTCCTTATCGTTGGTATCTCTCATTCCTGGGTTTGGCTTGGTTTTATACGGGTTTAACGAGGACACCTGCACCGCTTGCTGCACCGCTGCTTTTCAGTCCTGTCCGGGCTTTTCAGATCAACCTAAAGCTGTTCGGGTTTTCCCTGTCGGGAAACTTTGGTGCCAAGTAACCACGCTAAAAGGACGTTCCGTTTTGACACTGACATCCCGATATAAATGCATTGTGGGATATTGGTGAAGGCCGTTTCATGAGCGTTGGAGAAGGCCCTCAGCACGTTACTGTGCTCTTTGCGCCTGGAGACGCTGGCCGCATTTCGGGGTGGGGGCTGAGCCCCGATGTGGGCCGCTCTCAGGAGGGTGATGGCCGTGCTCGTGTGCAGGGCCTGTCCCGGGAGGGGCAGGGGAGAGGGAGGCCACAGCAGGTGCGGCCGGGGGCTGTAAGCCCAGCTCTATTTATTGCCCCTCCATACTGGGGCTCGTGGGCACGTCCAGCTGCTCAAGTGTGTTTTTGGATGGCTTCTCCCTTTCACGCGCTGGCCATATCAGGGCAAGAGAAGGCAATGGAAAGAATCAGCGCCGTATTTGATAATGTCAGCATCTGTTCTGTGTGTCAGTCAGCCGCTTGGAAATGCCCGAGTTACATCAGTGTCAGCACATGCTCAGGGGTCAGACTCGGAGTGCTGTCAGATTTAAAAAAAAAAAACAGGGAGAGAAAACAGAGGGAACAGCTGATCCCAGTGATGGATTTGCTATTTCAGAGATCCGGGCAGGCCTGCGAAGGGTGATGGTTTACTGCAGAGCAGTGATGGACACTTGTCCTCCTCTGATGATGGCTCCTTTAGCTGGGAAAATGTGCCCTGTCATTTCTTTTTTTGGACTCGGCCTGCTCAGCCGGGCTGTGTAGCAGCTTGAATGATCTTGGCTTTTTTTTTACAAGGGCTACTTCATCTAGATATTCTTAGGAACACTGTAGCACTCCGTGCTTTGCCGTTAAGTGCACTGCAGTCATTGACACAGTGTTTCACGTTTAGTTTAACTGACTTGCATATGGTTCTGAACCATCTTGGTAAAAATATGATTTCAACAGTATGGGTTAGTACTAGACCCATGCTGCTTAGTTAAAACGTATCTAATCAGTCAGGTTACCTTCTTCCTAGCCAAAGTGTACTTGGACATGTTTTTTTATGTGTAACTTTTTGGAATGTTGTAAGTATATTTTGCCTCAAGAAATAATAGTGTAATATTTATTACACTAATGGTAGCTTGGGTTTTGCCTGCATGTGCCTTTTGAAAGAACTAAGAAGCACGATGCCGGTTTAGACTCCTTCCGGGGCCACGTCCAGCAACTTGCCCTGGCTGAGATGTGAAGTAATATAACTCCGCTTGAGGCTTTGTGATGCTGCTTACACTAATACACCCTGACAGCAAAGGCCGCTTTTCTTTTCACTAAGCAGTTAAAACCAAGTTCAACAGCTTGTGTATCTGTGGACATTTCTTTCCTCCTTTTTCTTAGAGAGTCAGGACAGTATTTTTGTGCACACCTGGGGAAAGGGTCAGTGTAGCCATGAAGCAGGGGGGCAGGGGCTGATCAAGGCACATAAAGCTGAAGTGACCAGCCCAAGGTCAGACAATCCCTGTTTGGGAATTTACCTCCATTGTTCCGTTCAGTTAACTGCCCTGTTCTTTGCACAGTGCTCCAGAGGAGGAGCGGTGGATGCAGGCAGCAATCCATCATCACTGTCCTTTATTTTTATGAAGCTGTCGACAATGGAAAGCAGCTGACTGGCAGGCCTGGTCCAGAAATCTCTGCATTGTCACTTTTCCATGCGCTAATCTGACTGCACTTCAGCAAAGCATTTGGCAAGCGTAGCAAACATGAACAATAGGGTGGGATCAGGAGAGCAAGCAGAGAGCGAAAGGGGTTAAAACAGCAGGGATATGGTATAGAACTGTAGATTAGCATTCCCTTTTCATGGCGCTGTCCTACAGCTCCGAGATCCGATTGCGTGAGGATTCGCAGACCTCAAATTAGATCTGCGCAATTAGTACAAATGTCAATTTTGCGGTCGTTCCACAACCCCTTTTTTCCCCCCTCGGTAAAATGGGTTCTCATTTGTTTTTGCCAAAAGTGGTGGACCTTTGGAAGGATTATGACGTTAATCTTTTGACCAGCTCCGGCATGCTACAATTTATACAAAACTAGCTGTTAAGTTACTGTTGGCCTGAGTTCAACAAACCAGCACATTGCGGTGCAGCGCCAGATAGTGAAGAGGGCCTGTTTGGAAGGGCTCCTTTCCCCCAGCAATGCGAAAAGCACTTGTTCGGAGCTGGTAAATTGATTTCAGTTTCGGGGTCGGTGGCCCAGCACGAGGAGGGTTTTCAGTTGCCTAGTAAGGGCAGTTGGGTGTTTTACTGTTCCGTCAAGAGCGGATTTTCCAGCCTCTAGTTTCCCTGGCTCTTGGACTGCAGCAGTATCCTGATCGTACTCCCTACACCCCCACAAGGCCAGGGGCCGGTGCACTGCGCGATCTTCTAACTAACTTACTACGAAGGCGTCCGATTCAATGTAAAACAATGGACAGAACGTTAAAAAAGCACCGACTGCACCATTAACACCCAAGGCTGTGCGCCGCTCGTTTTACAACATTTCTTATCAGCCAGGTGTGTTTTTCGACTACACCGCTTCAGAGGAATTACAAAACTTACTGTTACGACTAGTTACACTCCTGACAGTGACAATAATTCCCAAAATCCTGAAATCCAAACTTCTGGCTTCGTCGCTCAGTGCCTGATCAAAAATACATACTTCTTTACATTCCATAGCTTTCATATGTCCATATGGGTACATAAAGAAGTATGTACTCCGGATAGGCGGATAAATGACAGCCCGAGTCAAAGTACTGATTATATGCTACTCTCATCCTGTCAGTGGCTGTATACTCTTGTTTTGCTTGAGGAAAACCGTCAGATAAACACTGGTTTACACTACACTGCATTACAGTTCTCTACCAGACTTCAGGAACCTTTAAAAAAAGAACAGCATGAGAGACATTACCATGAGGTGATGTTGAACGTTCCCTAAATTAATCCACCTTCATACCAACACAGAATAAAGGGAAGTCTTGAAGGTTCTTTCGTTCCCACCCACCTGGGCTAAATGTCCCGTGTCTCTTGTGCACGTTAAATCTGTGACAGTCCATACCGTGCAGCCTGAGCCAGTGACCCCATCTGTCCTCCAAAGAGCTGAAAGAAATGATCTGAGATGAAGAAAGGCTGGGATTTGTAACGGTGGGCTGGCTTGTCCTTGTCTGCGGAGTCCATCACGGGGAGGGGGTTGATGAGAAGAAGAGAGAGCCCCGGTGTTTATCCCCTCTTGCTCTTGCGACTGGCCTGTTCACCGGCTCGCTCCCTGCTCCTTCCTCTCAGCCTTGTCCTTCGCAAACTTGATTGCGGTGTCCTGGGAATAAGGGGGGCTCTTCCACAAGCTGAGCGGCTCCGTCTGCGCAGCGCCCGGTCTCACTTTTCATTTCCTCCTCCGTCCTCTTCCTCTCCCCGGCTTGCTCTCTCTTCATTCCTCCCTCTCCCTCTCCCTCTCGCTCCCTCTGCGCCTGTGATCTGATACACAGCCTGTGGTTTTAACCAGCTCTCCGGCAGGATGTCAGAGCGGTGCTGATGTTTGAGAAGGGGTGATCCAACTAGAACAGGAAGCTATTGTGAGCAGGATTTAGGCTATAGGCAGGCCAGAGGTCACATGTGAGAGCTAATGCCCATTCAGCACTTCTGGAATGGTGTGCTGGTTCCCCCCCTGCCCTCCCTCCCTCTCCGGCCACTCACCTGCCACTGTTTATTCCTAGGCCACCAGTCTATTCCAGGCGCAACAGATCAATACCCATTTGCATAGAAATGTGAAATGTTCAGCAGGTTGCTAATGAATTTTTACCCTCTCCTCACATTCCACAAGTCAACACTGGCCCAGAGGCTGCAAACTGACCTGTGATGGGTGTTGGGGAAACACTGAAGGGGGGGGGGGGGGGGGGTGTTTCCTGCACCCTGCTCCCTGCACCCTGCTCCCTGCTCCCGGTGGCAGTGGAGATCCTAGCTGACGATCAGCGAGTGTGAAATCTCACTCGATGTGAGAAGAGAGGGGGGAAACAATGAATGATGATGTGGGTTGTATTGGGGGTGGTCATCTGTTTTTGAAATGGCAAAAAAAATGACAATGTTTAAGTTGTGTGAGAAGGTGGTGGTGGGGGGGGGTGTCTTTTATTAGTCGAAAGTATGACATCCCGTTTAGGAAATTTCACAGTCTGCTGCTGAAAGGGGGAGAGCGGCGAGAGTAAAATTCCTGCAGCTCATGATAAAAAGCTGGTGCAGCTGATCAAGAACAAATCAGAGGATAGCTGGAGAATTACACAGCAGCACCGGGAGAAACAGCAATGCAGCATTACGATTACAGCATGCAGACTGTGGAGACACAACTGGGTTACTAGCCTGAGCGGTTTGGGTTAAATATGACACACATCCCGAATGATCACTCAGCTCAGCGCTGCTATCCACCCCCCCTCCCCCATTCCCACATCACTGCTGCTTTTCTTTTCAGCTTTTTTCCCTTAATGTCCTGTCCTCTTGTCCTGGCACAGAATCCCAAACACCAGCATCTAGATCTGGGCTCAAACCAATAGCATGTTCTGAGCAGCTAGAATTGGAACAGTGGTCGGGCTTTTCTGTCCAAACTTTACACTGGCGCGCAACTTAAAAAAAAAAAACACATAAAAAACACAAGCTTATGGGTAGGTTTACCCTGATAACCACGTATGTAATCCAAGACAACGCACAGAGCTCTGGAGGATCGCAGTTCTACTACAGGCAATAAATGCGCTCCACAATTCGACAACTTAAAAGTTAATGAGCCTATCATTAGACAGCGACTTAACATCAACAGCTAATGAGCTAAACAATTCATTGCCGCAGTACAAGCCTGATCAGCCCCGGGGATGAAACAAAAGGCTACTCAGAGTGGCTATAGTAACTTTCAAATTCATTTTTAACACCACCCCCCGGGTTTCTCTTTTCTCCTCCTCGGCTAGAGAAAAGGGATCACCGTAACTTATCGGCTGCTGCAGGAGGGTGCGCGTTCCTCCCCGCACGATACACACAAGCAAGTCATGCAGTTAATAACCAGTCGCTTCCAGAAAGAAAAGCCGAGGCAATCGCAGGCCCTCCCAAGCAGAAGAGTGGATATTACCTGTCCTGTTAGTATCTTGCAGCCTTTCCAGTTGAGACCGAGCTAATGACCTACAGAGAGCTACATCTGCAGCAGCCATCACATCCAGAGTGCACACTCTACTCGCTGATTCAGCTTCTCTGAGCAGCGAGAGGGGGTGGGGGGGTGGGGAGCTGGGGAAAAGCACGCTTCTGCCTTACCTTGGTGGGGGGGGGTAAAAACACAGTTTCTGTAAAGGACTCCTAGAAGACGATCTAAAGGCAGACCATTGCTGTCCTCCCACAAACGTGCCATTGAGACCCTGGCGTTTTCTATCCTTTTTAAAAAAAATAAACTGATGGAAACCTGCACCTTCTTTTGTGTGTTTTGGGGGAGTAGCTTTTTGTTAAGGACGCCGAGCTGAAATCGATGTTCAAGTGGAAGAGCAAGGCAGTGCTTTTTTTGTTGTTGTTGTTGTTGTTGTTGTTGTTTCTCACGTGGCCTAACACGGTAAAGCTGGAGAGATCCTGTCTGGTGTCTCTTTGTAAATTCGGCTATGCGCTGGGGGTCGAAAAGTTTCCTGCGTTCGCAAACTTGCCAGGAGAGAAGGAGAGAAGAAAAAGTTGCAAAGTAGACCAATAAGGGAGGCAGGTCCTGGGACTCTTCGTTTTATGCTTGTTCCATAAGTTTTCCCTTTTTTTTTTTGTTCAGCGTTGCACTGCATCGTCTCTTCAGCCAAATGCAGTCGTTTTAGTTGGCTCTTTTTTTTTTCCTCCTCCTCATCCTGCTCCGTTTCGCCTTCCTGCTCTTTTGAGAAAGAAAAAAAGAAAAGTCCGGTTTGGGGACGCAGCAGCAGCAGCGCAGTCGAACATCTGTGAGGAGGCAGCAGCTTCCTAGTCTCTGCAGGGGTCACGTCTGCTGGGGGCGGAGGTCAGGGGTGGGGGGGTCCTGTACACGCTGCGGAGGGAGGGAGGGAGGCTGGCTGGCATTTCACACTCAGAGGGCACAAGCAAAACTGTTAGAGCTTTATAGGCAGCTAAGCATCTGAAACACGCGCTCGCCGGCAGAGCAGCCTCTCCGGTGTCTCTCTGCTCCCTGACCATATTTAGTCAACCATAGCAAAAAATAGGCTTCCAGCTGTCAATTGCCGATTCGGGAGTGTGGGGGAGCCTCCATCCTGCTCTCCGCCTATTGATTACTCGTCCTGCAGTGAGCCCCGGCCTCCTCTCGCCATTCGCCCAGCTATTTTTAGCACAGCCAAATAAAGTGGTCTCTCATGTTTCCACTTATATTTCCTGGCTCCCCCCCCGTCCCCACCTCTCCCAGTTCTTTAAACTGAGCTGCACTGCATATGGTAGAGTCCGACGCAGCTGACACTATACTTAGAAACACTGCGGAGTGGGGAGAGAGGGAGAGAGAGAGAAACCGCCAGTGCTGGAGCAAAGTCTGTAGGGGCTAGAGAGCAATAAATATCCCCGTACTGTGATAGAAGACTGTGTAACCTGATTTCTTGATCGCCGAAAAGTGCCATGAATAATAATAAATGGGCATCGGCCCTCCTCCGGGCGAGCTGCCTGCAGGTCAGGAGTTTCTGTCGGGGGGCTAGAGGCTCCCTCCTCCTCCGGCTGGGCCCCCCCTTGCCACCTTTTAACAAAAGCTGATCTTCCGGTCTCGTATTTGTCTGCCCATTCTTCCCCCCCCCTTTATTTCCGTGGGCCAAAAACGCAGGAATTGTCATCCTGAATTTCCCAGGGGGGATGCCTCGCCCCCCCCCATTTCCCAGCGCCTTCATTAATCTTCCGCCTGGCACCTCGTGGAATGCACCGGCTTTCTGAAGCATGGAAATTGAAATGTATATTTGATTAGGAAATAAAAAAAATTCAAAGTAAATAACGCGGTTCTGCTAAGAACGTCCTTCAGTGACTTGATGAGGCTGTGAAGCAGTAATCACAGTTGTGTCCTCAGCTAAACACTTTGCGGCGCGAGTGGCAATACTCTCTCCTGGTATAATTATGTTGCCGGAGGAGATTGTGGTGTCTTTTAAAGCAATATTTCCATGCTGTTTCATTAGATTCTCCATGGGGAGAAAAAATAAAAACCGGTCCGCCGCAGGTCACTGGAGATGATGTCCTGACAGTTTCACTTACCAGCTTTGGAAAAACAATGTGGCTAGATGGGTCTTATTGTTTTACAAGAATAACTATAGGGAAACTATCAAATGAGTTTGGAATTTCAGGTCAAGTGACATTTACACAGTACATAAAGCGAAGGACTTGTGTTTGGCAGTAAAATAACACACTGAGTGGCTGAAGCAACCGAACCTTTGCAGTCTTGCACCGACCGAGAAGCCTGCGAGGAGACCTGCTCCACCGTTCACAGGACTCGAAGGCTTTCACAACGGCAACGCTGTAGTGGAATGAACAGTGGACCTTGAACTCGCGGGCACAGGTGGAAAATGTGGAAGTGCTTTTAATAACCGAGAACAGGAGGCACTTGTTCACACTGAGGGTTGTGGGAATGTGGAACAAGGTGTTATCGATGCTTTCCTTCAAGAAATGGCTGGAGTGGGTCCTTGGATCAGTTAACACTGACTATCAAACAGGCTAGGCAGGCCTCCTTTCCTTCGTTAGCTTGGTGTGTCCTTCTTTTAGTGTGTTTTACCCTCAAGAGCAACGCTTGTGTTTCTGCGCTCCGCAGTTCGTGAAGACATGTTTCACCTGCCCCTTCTGTTTGATTGCAGTTTGTTGAGTTCCCGTCAGTCCGGCTCTCGGCCTCGCCCATGCTTTGGCTAATAACCCTGTGATAGTCATCCGACTCCTCAGGGCCTACACTGAAGTTGGCTTTGAAATCCCCGTGTCCTTTGAGGACGAACTTGACTGCGCAGAATGATTACATCTCTGCACAGGCAAAAAGCGTCACTGGAGCTTCATTTTCAAGAAGGTTTCTTAACCCGTTTACAAAAATTTTATCTTATTGTTCCAGGTTACAATGTTAGATTTGTATGAGTTTAATTGGTATTACAACGGTCAACTGACATACTGCTTTAGCATCAGGTTAGAATACTTTGACTTACGTTTTGGATCTTGTTGAAGCACATCTCACAGGCCTGTCCCAGGTTGTTCATGGGCCGAGAGCCTCTAACTTCGGGCTTGATTTACTGTCCTCAGTTTCCTATCAGCAGTTTTGGTAAAAGTAATTTTCTGAATATTTATGTTCTAGGTTTATAGGTTTCACACTTTTAATCTGGCACAGAAACGGCATAAATAGGAAGAATTTTAAGAGTAATTAAGTCCACAGTTTTTTCTTAATGCTAATTTCTTGGTCTAAATGGGATTTTAAGTACAAGTTTATGTAACAGGCCTGATGCTGTGTCAGTTACAGAAGTGGTGTCATGTCCCTCTGAAATCTGGAGAGTGCAAGAGGAGTGGCGTCCTGCTGCCCTTGAGTGAGCAAGATGTGTTGCAGCTTCCTTTCCCAGTAAGCCCAGGGGGGCAGACAAGCGCTCAGGCCTCAGGTCTTTATACGCCATGCTTGCAAAAAATATTCCTGGTTCATTCATAGGTTTCTCAGCCATTCTAAATGTGCTAGATTGTTTGCTTCCTCTAGAGCATGTAAGAACACGTGCTTTTAAATGAATCTCTGGAGTTTCTTTATGAATTAACCAATTCCAATATCCACAAATTCTAGCATACTGCGTTGAGAGCAACTCCTTTCCACCACGTGTTCACAAAGATGTGCAGTGGCACTACCACTCACAGCCCTCTTACCAAATGACAGGCCTTCAGAAGCCAAAACTGGAGCCCTCCTCCCATGACATCCTCTGTTGCCGTGCAGAACTAGACGCGCAGAGTTTAAAATGTGAAATTAATTTGACCTCTCCTTGACTGGAATGAAGAATGCTGGAGTGTATCATTCTTCAGAGCGCCCGCTTAACGTGCGGAGGAGGTTAAATCTGCTCGTCTGCACCTGGAGAAGAGGCAGGTGTCGTCCCAGGCTTCTGTCCATGTGCTGGATCCTTAGCCGAAGTCCTGGACAGCAAAGCGGACGCGTGCTACAAATCTCCGTATTTCGGAGTGTGGTCATTGCAGCCTCCGTGTGCCCTTGACCTCCAGCTTGACTTCTAACGGAGCGTATCGTTTAACCTGCTGTGCGATTCTGTTATTTTGAGACGTGGGATCCAGCACATGGGCTTTGCCTGCTGAAAATATTCTGCACACTTGTGCATGTGCTCCAAGTGGTCGTCGATGCATTTGTCCTCATTTTCTAGGCAATATCAGCTTGTGCTCAGCACTCCCAAGTGCTTTATATTAAAAGGCATAAAGTTACCACGGCTTATATCTTTCCGTTTTGTTTTTGGGTTATATTAGCCTTTGCTGTGAAGGTTATAGATTTTTTTCCATTTAACAATGGACTGACCAAAGAAGAAAAGCAGGCACTAGAGGTTGTTCAATTCCTGGTAATGAAAAATGTATCCTGTACATAATATGAACAACTTTTTTTTTCACGACCTTAGTTTTGATTTTATTGTTGTTGATTTGCCTTGTAAATCATACAGTTTTTGAATCGCAATGCATAGCGCAAGACTTGTTTAGCACACCACGCTGCGGCCTCAGAGAGAGGAATGGCTCGTCGCCTCCCTTCTGGTGCTGCAGGGCTTGCGTGCGAGGAGAACCGGCACAGTCCGGCACGCTAGAGCCCCAGCCTCTCACCGGCCTGCGCAGGAGCAGAGTGGGGTCAACTGAGTGGGCGGTGCAGTGGCTCTGTGGCTCAGGATCTGCGCCTGTGGCTGGGAGGTTGCCGGTTCGAATCCCGCGGCCGGCAGAGGAATCCTACTCCGTTGGGCCCCCGAGTAAGGTCCTTCACCCCAGCTGCTCCAGGGGTGCTGTATAAATGGCTGACCCTGCACTCTGACCCCCAGCTTCTCTCTCCCTGTCTGTGTGTCTCATGGAGAGCAAACTGGGGTATGTGAGAAGACATTTCCTAATACAAGAAATTGCATGTGGCCAATAAAGTGATCTTGTCCGAGGGGTGTCCCCAAGCCAGGATGTACAAGCATGTCCGAATGTCTTGTAAGTCCAGAATGGCCTTGGTTCCCCTGGGTTGTGTTGTTTTTGGGAAGGTAAGGAAAGTTAAGGATCCCGAAGCTTCTTCTACCGTGTAACTTTATCGGAAAGTTTAAAGAACTGGATGGTCCCACAGAGTAGGCCTTTCATATTCCTCTGTGCCAAAATGATTTGCACTCTCAGTGTTTCCGCAGATCGACACTTAGGTTATACACTGGACAGTTTTGCTTTTCACAGCATTTTCGAGCTCAGAAGGGTTAAAGGAATTGATTGATATGTCTGTCTTTGCACGTTTCATTTGAAAAACGAGACAGCTGACCAGTTCAGCTCTGGAAAGGTGAATTGGGGCCGTCAGCATACTATGAAGAATGTAGTACAGAACCGTTTTTTTTTTCCTCCGCAGTGAGCAATATACACAAGGTGAAGTCACAGCGTGAAAAAACACAAACAACTGTCGGCGCATTTCCTCCTGCTCTGCCACTGGTGTTTTAAATAGATTTTTGCAGAATAGTCTGAAAATCAAGCTTTTCTTTTCCACCAGTATATTCATGTTTTACTGTATTTCCTGGACCCTTTAATTCTGTCTTATGCCGATTTAAAAATGTTTTACTTCTGGCAAGTTGCAAGCTAATAGAAGTACTGCTACAGGGACCACTGAAAAGATACAAATGTGAGCCTCCAGGATTGGAAGTGAAGCCATCTGTCTCTGAATTCTCCTGTTCTCCATCCTGCTTTGGCTTCTGTTAGTCCAAGTCTCACTGTCGGGCTTGTCTCCTTTGAAACACCTTATCGGTTTCTTTGGGGATTAGATGGAATTGCGGTGTGTTCCTCCTGTTCCAGCCCCTTGTGTCTCTCACCTCCAGAGCGGATTGTTTTAATCAGCGTTCTGATCTCGAGTAATTTGTTCCTTGGATTAACCTGGCTGCTGTTCTTTCTACCTTCCCTAGTGCAATTATATCCCATTTCTGTCAGGAAAGCGTGCCCCACAAAGACAGCCAGTGAAATGGCGGACATGGT